ACGCGGAAAAATGTGCTGATCCCGATAAGGATCTCGATTCTTGATAAGGATGCCTTTCAGCCTGTGCCTTTTCAAGTCCGGTATATCGTAGCTCTTCCATACACGCATCCTTATCAAGAATCGAGTGTAAAAGTTTACAACAAGATAACTTTTTCATATTTTGTCCAATCTTATTGATCTTTTTTTAAAAATGTTCCTAAGAACCAGTAGAATAAAAGTTATCGGCTGGATTTTTGTCTAAACGCGTAGTTCTAGAGAAAACTCGCTGAATGTCAAAAATTCACTAAATTTTACGGAAGAAAAACAGTAAAATCGGGTTTTAAAAAATTCAGCAAGACAGATTTCAAAAATTCTTTTAGACTCGGAATCAGCACATTTTTTCCGCGTCGAATGACACCCCTCCTATCCAATTCCTAGAGTAAGTCGATTTTTGTGTTATTTCACGCGGATGTGTTGCGTAGTCTAGCTTTAAATGATTTTTTTCGACACTGCTTGACGCTATAATACGCGCTTAGGTATCAAAAAATAGCTAAAATTCAGGGCTATTTTTTGATACCAAAGACGCATTTTTTGAAAGTACGGGCGCTTTGAAAAAAAGATGAAATACTAAAAAACTTTTGCGACTACGCAACTGTACGAGGGGGATGGGGTACTATTACAGTATTTACAGTATGTCTTGCGTGTATGTGTATTTTAAGCCCTATTCAATAGCTTATCGAAAAATAGAGGTCATTGAAATCAAAACCCAAACAACTCTACCGTTATATCGCTGATCATATTTGCACAGTTGCCGTAGCCGTCATCACCGTAGACAAGAGCGACTTGGTCCCTGGAAAGATTTTGATGTATTTGGTAAATGAAGTACCGTAAGAAGACCTGTCGAGCCCTTGAAATCGAAACTTTTCCGAACTTCTTTTTTAGCTATTGGGTTGGTGAATTGAAAACTGAGGGGGACTTTGAACTAAAATTTATTCAACATAAAACCATGAATTCATTCGAAATAATTTCCATTATTATTGACGACTTCTGCCCATTTTACAGGTAATTTGCGGATTCCTCTTTCGTAGTAGGATTTTGGTTTGTGTGTGAGACAAGTGTGAGACTCAAAAATGGAGGACTGGAGGTGTCCCAGTTTGAGCACTTTCTTCAAAAGAAACCCATTTTGGTGTCAATAGAAAAGTTGTAGAGAATCAAAAATTAGGCTTATAGCCAAATATCCAAAAAGATACACTTAGTAGTTTCGCTTAAAATGCAAGTTTTGTGAAAATTCGTAAATTTCGCATTTCTTGGAAACCAGTTTTTGAATCTTTCTGAAGATTTGGATTTCAGCTTCATTTTTGATTCTCTACAACTTTTCCATTGACACCAAAATGGGTTTCTCTTGAAGAAAGTGCTCAAACTGTCACATATGACAATAGCCCGCAGTTTTCAATTCACCAACCCAGTAGTTTTCATATTTTTTCGTACATAACTTTATAAAACATTTCATTGTGAGATGGAAAAAGCAGCAATTTGTGTAAAGCTATTGAGAAAAATGCTATCAAATCACAGGTGTAGTGAGATTGGAATCCTGGAATTTTTAAAGATCCTGGAATTGGAGATTTGCTGTACAACATTATACAACATGCTGTACAACAACGGTACAGGATTCCAAAATTCACTCCAGATTCAGGCATCAAAAAACTATGAAGAACAGTGATGTTTTTTTGAGTTTTTAAACAACCCATAACCCCTTCTTCTCCCAGCTTTTACATATTTCTTTTTGCCTCGACATATTCCTACGTATTTTTGTGACCTAAAAGGTCATTTGGGCCTAGAAAGGCGAATTTGATTTTACCCCTTCTTTCAAAAAAAATGAAGAGATAAGTTTTGAAAAAATCCATGAGAGGGACTACAGGGATCCTTTTGGGAGATTCTCGATGGAATCCGGGTAAGAATTTCACCTTTAAACATGGGACATTTAAACATAAACATGGAATTGATTTGGGGGACTTACCTACTTTTTTGGCCGACCGATTTTGGGGAGTTGAAAAATAGAAGATTCGGGTCTCCTATTGGAATATTTACGGTAGACAAAAAAAAACATATTAAATGCAACACGAAGCAACATATCCAACACTCACCAGTTGAACACCTGACAAAGAGAGTAGAAGGCGTAGCCGAGCCTGAAGGATTCAAGTTTTTTTTGTTATTTTTAGAGTTCCCTAGCTTTACACAACTCTTTCTACTCACTGTCGATAATTCGGGGAGATCGTTGTCAAATAGGGGAATCGTGTGGCGTCCGAAAGGGTTGACGCTGATGAGAAGCCCCAGGCAATCTGAAAAAACAAGGTTATGGTTTAAATAAAATTTACACAAAAAATCGAGAGTTTTTAATCAATTGAAATATTATTTATCTTTGAGAAAATGATGAGAAAAACTCTCCACAAAGATCACGGTTAAATTTCTCACCTGTGGCGTTTGGTAGAAGGTGCTGAGGAAGCCGACTGGGATAATCGCTGAAAAAGTTACAGTAAACTTCAAAAAGACAGCGCTAAAAGCCCCCTACTTTTGCAATTATCAATAGATTTTTATTTAAAAACCTGCACTACACGCGGGGCCAAGGATCACGTCGACTTTTCGCTCAGTGATCAGATATACGGCCAATCCGGCAGCGTTTGCCTCGGAACAGTCAGTGTAGTTGACGACAAATCTACGAGAGTTCGTGTAAAGGATGTTCAATATTTAAAGGGGAACTTTTGAGTCTGAAGGTTGTTTAACGCTTTCAGTTATAAAAAATTGGTTTATAAAAGAAATCATTAAGAAAGCACTGAATTACAGAGTTGGGATAAGCATGAAATGCTCACTTACTTTTACTGTTTACTCAATTTTTTATGTGAAAAGGCGATTCATTGGAAAAAAAATCATCATATTCATTAAACTCGATCATTAAATTACACCTGAAAGGGCCAGATCTGGTTATTCTTTGTTTAATGATAAGAAATTCTTCACTATATACAATTTATGAGACATTAAAAATATTGGAATCATATTTCAGTTTTGATTCTTTGAAGAAAACTTAACAAAAGTTTGTGACAAATTGATGTCCCCTAGTGAGCGCTTTCCACGCGAGTTCCTAGACAAACATCAACGCGAAAGGCAATCATTTTGAAAAAAGTGACTTAAGCTTGCTAAAGTACAGTCGACTCTCTCTATAACGGAATGGAAGGAACCAAAAAATGTTTCCGTTATATAGGGTGCCGTTATATATAGCTTAGCGTCGGTCGGGACCAAAATTTCATTCCGTTATATAGTTTTCTGCTATATAGAGTTCCGTTATAGAGAGAGTCGACTGTATATGCGACTGTTTGATATGTTTGTTCCTTTTTTAACCTTAGATTTGTACAAAAACGACCTTTAAACCTAGTGGTCGAGTGGTTCGCATAATATTAAACTGATTGAACTGATTGAACTGATTGAACTGATTGAACTGATTGAACTGATTGAACTGAATTGAACCAAATAAGAAATGAAATATTGAACGCCCTTTAGGTCAGAGTGTTCACAGCACTTACTCGAACTGAACCGAATCCAATAAATTGAGAAGAGCGATCTGCTGGAGAGCCAACGGAATCGTGCCACCGGTGATCGAGAAGCCGATTTGAGCCTGCTCGACTTCGGTGACTGAAAATGAAAGTTTTTCAGGCAGCTAGTGAGTGTGACTTTGTTATGTTAAATAAATAAACAAGTATGGTATGTATTTGAAATTCTCAGCACTTCTCAAAAGCCGTTTTTGGCCGCATTTCGCTTGTCGCTAATCTCTTGAAATCCTAGTGCACCAGCATGAATTTTTGAACATGAACAGCCACCCAAAATTTTTCTGCAAAGATCATTACACAAAGCCCTCACCAATCATCCCAACCACAATCGTTGTCACTTTCGATGGAGGAGTGGGAGTCGTTGTGAACAGGGGAGCCAATGATTGGGTTGTATCCTGAAAGTTTTACTGGATAAAGTATTGACCCTCACTGACCATTGTCGAGCCATTTGTGCTCATTGAAAGCTGAGCTGTGATGCATTGAAGGAGCTGTAGAAACAGAAGGCACCGAAACATTTGAAAGTTCTTTCAAATCAGCAAAGAGCTTTTTGGGGAAAATGAAGTTCTGTGGGCAGATGTAAAAAAAAAGAGTTTTTTCGAAAAGAATGAGAAATTCGAATCATCTTTTGTCAAAAAGGGTTTCCCATCCCTCAAAAGGGATGGGAATACTCAAAAAGACTCAAAAATCCGCCTCAAACCCCACAAATCAAAACTTTGGTTTAGTTTTTTTTGAGCATGTAAACAACGTCTGGAAAGTTTAGAAAATAATCTAGAACAAAAGATTAACAGATCTGAGGAAAGTTCAGTTGGTATACAAACAGGGGATGTTGCTCAAACTTTAAGTGAGTTGTGATTTTGGGAAAGGTGAATGAATCCCTGAAAAAGAATAGGCCCTCCAAGTCAAAGATCGTTCTCATCCACGACAACGCGCGCCCTCATGTTGCAAAACTGACTCGCTCTAAAATAAATAGCCTTGTTTGGGAACTTTTGGCGCATTCCCCATACAGTCTGGACCTCTCCCCTTTTGATTACTATTTGTTCCGGATCATGAGTAATGAGCTTGCGGGAGAACACTTCGATTCGGAAGAAGCAGTCAAAAATTGGTTTAAAAGTTTTTCGATTCGAAACCAAAATCCTACCACGAAAGAGGAATCTACAAATTGCCTGTAAAATGGGCAGAAGTCGTCAATAATAATGGAAATTATTTCGAATGAATTCATGGTTTTATGTTGAATAAATTTCAGTTCAAAGTCCCCCTCAGTTTTCAATTCACCAACCCAATAGGTCAAGTCAAAGCGAAAAAAAAGATTTCATCACAGGTATGATTCGTTGAGTATATCACGTTTTCACGAGAAATGTTTTCTCAAAAAAACTCAAATATAAACAGAAAACAAAAGTTTTTTCGTTAAAAATGAAAGATTTTATGGTTTTGTTGCTTTTAGCTGCTGTTATTTGGGCAGCTCCAATCGATTTTGAGTGGGTTATTTTTCGAATGAATTTTTCAAGCTTTTCTTATTTTATTATTCAGGCAAGCAAGCGATGAGCAGACAATGATTGTCGTGAAACCGGATGGAGTGAGGAGGGGATTGACCGGTCGAATCATTCAACGTTTCGAGGATCGGGGATACAAACTTGTCGCAATAAAAATGGTAACCGAATGCTATCATTGATTCTAAACTCTCATTCCAGCTATCAGCAACACTAGGGCAATTGGAGCTAAATTACTGGGATCTCAAGGGTTTGCCCCACTACGAGGGTATGCTTGGCTACATGAAATCGGGGCCTGTTGTGGCGATGATTTGGCATGGATTCGATGTGGCCAATCAGGCACGAATTATGAGAATAATTTAAAGCAATGAAACCTTCTAGTCTAGGACTTTATACCGGATACGGTCCTCAGAACTAATCAGAGAAATTGGAGCGAATTTTCAACATTTTGAAGGCGACAACCTTGTTTTTATCGGATGATCACGTCGATCACGATGGCTCATGGCAAGTGTCTCACGATTAAAGTGTGCTCCTCTCGAATCATGTTTTCTGAAAAGTGTTAAACTACCGTAATTTCGCAGTTCATAAGTAGAAAGTTATTTTCATTTTTCGAAGTTTTTTTTCGTCTTCTTTCACTAAAGAAAAGTAATTAAACCCGGTAGATTTTTAAAATATCGAAAATATACAGAAGAAAAAGTGTCCTGGCACGTTGCTCGTCTTTTTCTCCTTTAGTTGATCATCCTCTTCCTTTGTTTGTGGTTTCTAAAAATAAATATTTGTTTAAAACTATAAAATTTCGATAATGATAGAGAAAAAGAAGCAAAACTTCCAGAAATAATGAAAGAAAACCGCCTTTGCGCGCTTTTTAGAAAATGACTTCGCTAACGAGCATCCTTTAGTAAACATGATTTGAACGATTTGATTTGAGAGGAACACACTGACTCACTGACTATTGACAACTTAACAATTCACCAGGGTAAATAGTGTTTGTTTCTTTGTTTGTTTGCACGATATTTTGTGTCATGAAAATTTGAACATAATTACGCATAATTTAGCACAAAAAATTCCGAGTGCTCTCATATTTTGTCACCAAATACTTTCTAGTCGACCAATCTTTGAGCAACAAAGATTTCAGTGATGAATGAAATGAATGGAAAGAGGAGAAAAAAAAATTGATAAGCAATTCAGAAACCATTCAGTTCCTCTTCAGCCAACCAAAATGCGAATTTATTTCTTATTTTGTCTTTTACTCAATGTGGCCCTTTCATTCGAATGTCCACCACAAAGTGATCGAGTGCCAAACGAGAACGTTTGCATGAGGGCCGATCGAAAACGTGGGTTAACATTTTGGAGACAGGGGAAATCTACAGAAAGTCTGGAGAAATTCAGCCCAAAAAAACACGATTCGGCCTAAAACTCAAAAATTTAGTAGCTGGATTACTACACTCTGTCAAAAAATTATAGGCGCACCCTGTTTTTTGCTAGTTTAGAGCCGGATATAAGTGCTAGTCCAGTGAAAAGTAGTTTTTAGTTTCTTTAATGTAAAAAAAAAACAACCCATGCAAAATTTCAAGTCATTTCCCTCATCCAAAGTACTTTATCGTCCAAAAAACGTTTTATCAGCTGTCAAAAAATCATAGACGCACTTTTATTTTAGAAAAAGTACTAAGAAAAAGTTAACAGAAATAAAAGTAACAACACAAACCAAATAAATTAATAGTGTGTGGCCCCTCCTTGCTTGAGTCCAACTTCAAAAAAACACGTCTCGGCATCGAAGAGACCAGGTCATGAAGCGCTGTTGGCTGAAGCCGATTCCACTGAAGGCGATTCCACTTTCCTGTTGGCTGAAGCCGATTCCAGGCTACTTGAATGGCTTAAAGTTCAGTTACGCTCATTAGAGCTAGATTCATTAGATTAGAGTATGTTGATCTCGGATAATGCAATTCTAAAGCGTGGATGCGGCAAAGAAATCCGAATTTTCTTCTCTAATTACATTTAACATGAACCTAACATTAAGTTTTGCATTATAGCTTTACAAAATCACTTCAAAGTTCTATGCACACCTGTAGCATCAGTCGATGCAGAACGTACTTTTTCTAAAGTCACTAGAATGTATGCCGACCCTCAAAAAAGTCGATTGACTCAGGGCGATTATTGATTTTAGCACCTGCTCTAACAAACAACGTTAGGTTCTTTTTAAGGTTATTCAAAGCTAACTCCAATTTAGCGTTCTGCTCAAAGGTGCCTCCCTATTAGTGCTAAATGATGAAAACCAACTTAAACAAGTAGAAATAGCGCTAACGGTCATTGTTTTGAAAATGAACGCGAGGAAATAAAAGAAGAAAGATTAACAGCTTAAGATAAGTTTTGTCATTAACATGTTCCAAATAAATTTTTACAAAGAAAGCTGTTTTTCTAAATGTTGATTACTTTTTTGAAAATTTCCTTGAATGCAAAAAATAGAAGACCGACCTCGAATAAAAGACAGGTCTAGGTTAGAAAGTTTCGAAGAAATAGAAGACCCGTCTTCTAGCCGAAGAAATACGGTAATCCCTAGTAAATTTGCATTACAAAAAATATACAGAAAAAAAACTGTCCTGTTGTTACGCCGCTTTCTACTTCTTCTTTTCTTTTGCCGTTGTTATCTAAAATAAAAACATTGTTTAACCGATCGACTGAAAAAAAAAACAGAAAACAGGAAAAAAACTATGGTAAAACAAAACAAAAACTTACAATTTAACTTACACAAACACAACACAATTCAACAAACTTACATATCGACTTAAAAATTTAAAAGGAAAATGAAAATGATTTCAAAATAATCATGTTCGCCTTTATATACGCAAGCAAAACGATAATGCATTTTAGAATGTCATTATCCAACCATTATTTGACCCATTTATTTGGATAATGAATTATTTGCTCAAAATTATTTAAATGCATTATCGTTTTGCATTTAAATAATTTTGAATTCATTATTTGTCCGAGATTAACACACCATAATAACTATTCATTGGGATCGATATGAAATCTAGTCATAATGAAATGAAATCTAATCATAATGAAACGAAATCTAATCATAATGAAATGAAATCTAATATGAAATCACGATATGAAATCTAATCTGTGAAATTACCCAAGGTATTAAAAAAATCGATTATTTTTTTTGATTCGAATTGAAATTTTGAAAAATTTTCGAATTTTGGGTGATTCGGTGGTAAAATCACAAGTTGATCCACCAAAACCAGTTTCCTGTCAAGTAGATACATTTCCAGGTGACACTTACTATTCAACACATCGAACCTGTGCGAGCTTTGGTGGGATGGTTCCAGCAAAAATTCAAAATGCCTTCGAGAATTCGTTTGTCTTCTCGATACTGACCGAGCTGGGTATGGGCGAATCGTTTATTGGAATCGAGCTGAATTCGGATGGGAATTGTACGTATGCTGATGGGACGCCGGTTACTTATCAAAATTGGGCTAAAGGTCGGTCGAGCGAATGTTTAGCGTACACTTTACGCACATACAGTCTAGTCTCGCTTTAACGTAAATTCTGTTCAAGTCGAAATGTAATAGATTTTTGTCTAAAATAATGGGCAAGTACAAAAAAGTAAACTATACAACGAGCTCTCTGTCAAATTGTTCAAAAAATTTGCTTTACTTTTATTCGTTCCTAGGTATAAACGGATGTGGACTAGAATTTGGGTTATGTTAAAGAGAGTGGATCCTTTTGATATTCCTCCATCTCTAACACCCCGACAACCCAACTCAACTCCTCCAACTTATTAGAGGGGAGCCCCTGTGAAATGGCCGACCTGTACTGCAGTTGCATAGACCCGAAAGATATGTTCTTTATTTACAGCAGTACGATAAGACGAATAGATTACAAATGAGTGAAAGGGGAAGGAGGGACTCCAAATGAGAGTCTCACTTGTCCTCCTAGGCAATCCCAAGGACCGCCCCTTCTCGGCAATAAAAGGAATAAGTACAGGGGAGAACACATTTGCATAAGAATAGACAAATCATTCAATAATAACAATAGTAACTAAAATATCAGTTTGGCTTGGAGCTGACACTTTCAAGCTTTCCAGATGAACCAAAAGCGAATCTTTGTGTGAGTATGAGTCCCGAATCTGGGCAATGGCAGACCAGTGAATGCTCAACCCAGCGAGCATTCTTTTGCTCGATCAGCGGAAATGATTAAATCGAGTAACTTTTGGTGGCTGGAGTGCAGTTTACCCCTTCCCCCCCCCCCCCACACACAAAAAAACCACTTTTCTCAGGGTTTTCGACCATGCTGAATCCGAATAACATAGTCCCAATCACCGGAAACGAAAAAATTTTGCCTTCGGGGACCCAGCAAAAAAGTTAAACCCTTTCTCTTTTCTTTTTTGTTGATTTTATACCGATTTTACTAACACCTAATTAATCTTTTTTCTTCTAGGATGACGGACATTAGTGAGTTGTTTGATGATGATTTGCTCATTTTCAACTACGGCGGCGTCGTGGGCAACGCCCGTGCTAGCCCGTGATGCGCGGCTGGGAAGTGATCTGCGTCACACAGTGTTTTTTTTAAAGGGACCGGAAACTACGTGACGCGTTGAGTACGCACAAAAAAAATATTACCCGACTGAGGCTAGGCCGCTTTGCCCAACACAAAAACTATCAGATTTTTCAAGTTTTGTACTCTAAATTTTTTTTACCTTGGTCTTCCAAGGCAAAATTTTTTTGTTTGCTTGTTTGTTTGTTTCTTTCCAGTGATCGAGACTATGTGATTCGAATTCAGCATGGTCGAAAACCCCCAGAAAAGTGGTTTTCGAAAGTTTTTTGTGGGTGGGGGGAGGGTAAACTGCACTCTTACCTTTTTGGCTTTGTCTTCAAATTAAAACGTGCATAAAGGCTTTTATTCAACGTTGCAACATGAATTGCCGAAAAAATTCCTTTCTAGAAGCGCTCACCATTGCATTGTTGATAGTATGCTTTGATGAAACTCGTGTAGTATCCGTCTTGCTTTGTCTCCAAAAGTCCGTAAAGGTTTGATGTAATTTGTTCGAAGGACGGCCTATTTTGTCGTTTTCTATCGCCTAATGTTTTCTGGAACGAGGAAACATTGAAAAGTAAATAAAAATTTGTTGGGAACATTTGTTGCTATTTGTAGCATTTTGTGTTTTTCAGGGCACTTTTCCTTGGTTCGGGATGAGCCGAAACCGATCTGAAATAAAGAGCTAATTCAAACTAATAAAACTTCAAAATTCTAACAATATTCAATACTCTTTTTCTTCATTTCTTGAGAGATTGATTGCCGAGATTGATTTCGATTCGTGTTGACCCGAAAACCAAACTGAAGTGCCCAGAACCAGG